CATTCGAAAAGCGCATACGCGCTTTGCCACAGGTCGGTTTCTCTGCTAATTTCAACAAAATCCCACCAGATTCCAAGGGAACTGGTGGAATTCTGGCTTAAAGGCGTTCACTCATAATCCGCCAGATGCTAGCCTCGGACCTTGACCGATCGGTCAATCCATGAGCCAAATGTTTGAACCTGGCGTTTCTCTCAAATACTAACGGGCTTCCTTCAAAACTAGCGCAATCCGTAGGCACGGGTTCTTACCAGTCAAACTATTTGAAGGCTTTTGAAACAATATTATCTATATTCACAATTCACATTTCTCCCAGTTGCTGTCCTACCTCATACCGGGACCAAATAAGGGATAGAAGAGGGTGCAACGGACACAGAGGTTCCAGAAATTCCAACCACTTGGGTTCGGTGACATGCGCAAGACGAATACTAGCCATATGACCAGATCTTTAGGAATGCGCCGCGCTGACGATTTCCGTTCAAAATCATTTGAATTTTTTAGTGCAAAGACATTAACCTACGTAGCAATCTACACAGCCAGGCTAATGCTTAATTGATTTATCACAGCTGGCACCGACTAACTAATCCCCCAAGGACTACATATGTCCTAGCGCAAGCGTGGGAATATCCGCTAGGTTTTTAAAGCGTACTAATTCCAGATCCTGTCGCCAAATTCGTGCCAGCCACTGCACTGGCAAAGCCTGTCCGGACAAAGGGGGCTATTGGAGTCTGCCTACGGCTTTACCAACGATGGGTTGTGATTATTGCCTGTCACCTTACACGTAAGTATCACTTTCTTCGAAATTTTACAATAAATCTTTTTTGAGTCATCATAAATCACAATTTGACAACCCGCTACCAACCTCGGCAAGTCGGAAAACGATGTCCCAATAATTCAATTACACCGCTCAAAGTCCAATCGACTGACAAACTCCCTGACGACGTCATGAAGGCGCGCACCACGTTTTTCCGCCTAATCCATTGAGCACGTCACATTTGCTTGCCTTCTGGCTTTTCGCTGTCTATTTGCTTTTCTCCATGTAACAAAGCATTGCATTACTGCTTCGCATTTGCTGCATTAAAAACCAATGCTGGGAAAGGATTAAAAACATCAAAGGCACACCACTTCCATAATAAAAGCCGTAATTTGTAGGATTCAAATTAAATTCAATCTGAACTACAAATAATGGATTCATGGTAAACCCAACATAGTTTGCAAAAAAAGTCTATAATACCACAT